AGTTTAGCACCAACGCCCAACCCCATACGCCAATGCGCCGGATGATACCTACCTCAATTAGAAGAAGGTAGGCGCGGTGCCAGGTGAGAAACCGTGTACTATTTACAGAAGCCAGTACACAGCTTAGTCAGAATCTAACATTGCACACAGGACAAGCTAGATCATATGAAAATCCGAAAGACGGGGAAGCTTACTTTCCATGCGAGCAATACATTGTCTTCCCAGGCTGTGCTTCAAGTTCCGGCCATGTGACCAGTGGCCAACCATGAATACCTTACCATCGTCAGAGTTGTTTTTGTAAAAGTAGGATCAATGAAAGATGAGTTGATACCGGCGATTCTGTAATAGCCGATAGCCTCTTCCGGAGGCGCGAGCTGAAGCTTTGCGAGAGAGCGCAAAAAAAGACTCCACTGGATTGTATATTCAGGGTTTGTGCTGAAGTCATCAATATCGAGTCGGGTATCAGGATCTCCCGTGCCTTCGATGGCATAGTCCTCCATATTGAATGTGGGGTTTTAGGATAGGATTTTGGGGTAGTTTTAATGAGATGCGATGAACTGTAATATCTTGAGTGATGGGACGTCTTTGGTCTCTTTTAAACTGATCAATATGTGACAACTACCTCGTGGTATTCTCAAATAGGTCAGTAGTTATCCTCCCCCAGTTTCGAAACTAGCTGGCACATATGCAGCCCTTTCAAGTAGGAAGGTTTACAGACTACCACCGATGTATGATGCTCAAAATGGAACAGCCAGTGGTAAAAAGCTATCAGGGACCCCGCCGCTAATGTGTAAGAAATGCGAGACAGTAAGACCTAGCAAGTATGAAGGGCATGGATCTCTACAGCAAAGCCAATCCGCAAACGAGGAAGCACTATTAACGAGTTTAATCCTCGGCCATCAAAGACTAACAGGTGGAGGATGTTGGATATAGGTAATTCTATACTGAACCCAAGAAAGCCAACACTTGGAAGAGGGAAAAACGAATTGTTACAACTCGTCGTCATGATTGGCGACGGGCTGCATACAAAGTAGAACCTGATGGTGTAACCCTCTCTCCAAAGATAGGCTATGTCGAGTCGTTCTGTAAGACATTGAAACGCCCATTACGGAGGCCAAGAGCAGACCATAAACCTTTGAGACAATGCTGACACCCCTTTGTTGGTCGCCAATATGTAAGAAAACCAATGAAGGAAAGGATCGGTCTGTGGCTTCACTGTGAGACAGGCCGGTGCAATACCATGTGGGGTAGGGCAACCTTTATTCTGTTCCCGCCATAGAAACAGGGTGGAGTTGCAATGCATCGGTTAGGCGGACTATCTCATCACGGGACAATCTAGAACCAATTTTCGGATATGATCCAACTAGAATACCTACCTGCAATAGGTAACCCATCCGGCTCCAACAGGCCTGTCCTGCCCCCGCCACCAGGTGTTGCTTTTCTTGAACCGAAAACTTAGTAGCAAGGCGCATTTTCGCAATATAGCGCTGCCTCCTATAGTACTCTCTATATGTGACCTAGCTTCCCGTCGAAACCAGCGTCTCAGTGAGCTAAAAATGAAGGGAATTGGGCACAAACTGATGAAGCTACAGGAGTTTGAAGTTCAGACGTCAAATTCGTCGATTTGACCACCGGGCTGGATGCTGGAGGTCACAGCGCAACGAGCACAAGCCAAGCCACGAAAGAAGACTCTTTGCACAAAGACCTATCATAATATATTTTACACCGCAGAGGCAACCGATTACAGCTGAAACGTTGCGGGGTACATAGGTCTAGATCTGAGTGACTCGCTACCAGCTGAACCACTCTCGGCGAACGGGATAAATCCTTGAACCTCACGGGATTGGCAGAAGGACATGAACCGCGAATTACTTATCCGGCCTGTGGAGACTGGAGAGTTTTCGCTGTACTATCCCATGGACGGATGAAATTATCAAAGTTGCGACCTGGACCGTGCGCATAGCCAAGCTGTCTCAGAAGATGTCTCAGTTAGACCTCAGCTCACTGGCAACTTCCAACTTGAAGGGACGAGATAATGATGAACATGGCACCAAATACTGGCATTCCGAGTCGGCACCCGTTAGGAGAATTGCAACAACCTCCAATTCGACCAAGGAGGTGTCGCCCAGAGAAAAGTAGTGGTATCACTTCACCAGCAGACCCCTTGAGGCCGTACACGCCAATGCATAGGAATCCTCATGAGGCCGAGATACTATTGCCAGAGGAGCTAGAGGTATGTCCTGGATCTAATACTTATTACTACTAGTAGTTCTGACTAGGAGCGCACTAAACTTTAGAATGTGAAACTCGCACCTTTGGATATTTTTGAATTCTTTTGGACACCAGAAATACTCCACTCACTATCGGAAAATACCAATGCCTACTACGCTGTGCAGAGGAAGTCTCGTGCCTGTCGCAAATGGAAGCCTACCACAGCCCAAGAAATTGGTGTGTTCTTAGGGCTTTTGATCGCCATGGGTGTAAACAGATGCAAATCACCTAATGACTTGTGGAGAAAAACATCCGGTATCCGGATCTATGTCCCAGTTTGGAAAAGACCAGTCTCCAAAGCAATGGGCAACAACCGTTTTTTTCAAATTAAGCGGTATTTTCATGTATCTCCGCCTTCTAGTGTGATTGGGCCAGATAATTGGTGGGAGAAGCTTGAGCCTTTGAGTAGTAAGATGCGTGAAAGCTGCAAGAGATACTACCTACCATCCACATCAGTAACAGTTGACGAGATGATGATAAGGTTTGGGGGAAGAAGTAAGCATACTGTTCGTATGCCTAATAAGCCAATCACAGAGGGATACAAAGTGTGTGCGATTTGCGACCATGGATACACAATCAATTGGCGGTTTCACTCCAGGGTTAAGGGTATTGGTGAACTGTCTTCTGCCTACCGGGATTCGGTTGGTATCTCTGCACCGACTACAGCTGTCGTCTATCAACTAGCTGAATCATCGCTACCCTATCGAGAATACGACTTTGTCATCTATATGGATAATCTCTTTAGTACTGTTGCCCTTTTCAGCAAGCTCAGGAGTATCGGAATAGGTGCATGTGGTACAGCACGCCTACAAGCAGGCCGCTTCCCGCTTGAATACAACAACAACGCAAAAGATATTCCCTGGAATACGGTGGTTGGTGGTGCAGTATCAGATAGTAACGGACTTGCCAGTGTACTGGCAATGCAATGGCAGGACAACAATCATGTGCACGCACTCTCCACCATACATACTTTAGACGAGAAAGTTACACGGTCTAGAAAGCGGCCACGCTTAACCAGTACTAGTGGTCCCTTGATCCGACAGGCATTCAGGGATAACCACAAAATGAATATTCCAATTCCTGCACTTATCGAGGACTACAATTATCCTAAGGGTGGTGTTGATATAGCTGATCAGTTGCGCAGTTATTTTTTTACACAGCTGATTGCAAGATGCAATTGGTTACCATATTTCTTTTGGTTACTGGATACAATGGTTGTCAATGTCTTTCTCCTCTACTCACTCAATCAAGCCGTACCTCGACCCAAAATCACACATAAAGATTTCCGGCTTTGACTTGCTGGTCAGCTTCTTCAAAAGTACGGACCAGAAGAGATAAAAACACGCCGCTGGTACAAAAGAAAAACAGCAAGAGTCACGTACAGCAAAATTTATGGAGTTTTGGATTTACCACCACCTGTTGACCGGCCTCTACAAGAACATGTACAGGTAGGTAACACATCTAATATTTTTCTAATTGCTACTACTACTCGCCATCTCACAGTGTTTCTGGCATACTAGGTACGCATGGAAAAAAGAAGAGAATGCGAGTACTGCCGGCTGAAGTTGAGGAGAGAAAGACAGAAAAGAAAAAGGGCCCCTACATCATATTTTTCCTGTGTACTTTGCAAGTTTGTCCTGTGCCTTGCCTGTTTTGTAAAATATCACCGTGACGACCTGATTCATTGACAACTCCGAGTCAGTGCCTATTGCACCACTTCCTACTGCACCACTCGACAGATCAACTATAAGTAATTTGCAACCATTATCGGTTGCCAGGGTGAACCAAAAGTGATTTGCAATCATTATCGGTTGACAGGGTGAACCAAAAATGATTTGCAATACACCATCGGTTGACAGGGTGAACCAAAAATGATTTGCAACCATTATCCGAGTCGGTTGCCAGTTGAACTAAGCCACCGGCCCCCCCTATCAGACCAAATATGATATCACATGACCTCTCAAAAAGGAAATCATCAGCGCCAAGTGGGTGCACGGTCCAGGTCGCAACTTTGATAATTTCATCCGTCCATGGGATACCTGGCAAACGTTACATGAGGATGAGATTGGTGGAAGGTTGAGTATGGGTTTTTTGTCCTTTAATACTGAGTTTCTTCCAACGAGTAATAGGATAGATGGATGGTTACTATTACGCATGGCGCCCGCGATAGTATTGTTATAAAACATTCTTAAGCTACAAATCTTCAGCTACACCTGACGCGCTAGCTCGCGATTGCGGGGGTGAACCACACACCATCGCTATGGTCTACAACGTTAATCTTTTTTCGTAATTCCGTGCGTAATGAGCCCTGCTTGTCTAGCCATAGGCTCTTCACGTGAAACCAAACGGGAATATGGACGCTGTAATCGAGCCCAATGTAGATATGCCCGCAGGGTGGATTGTGCCTCCTCTTGAAATAGTACGCTCAGCACATTTCATAGTATTGGAGGATTCTCATTTTGTCATTATGAGTCATGGGTTTTATGACTCATTCTTCTCTTGGTATTTATTAGTCATGATACGGTTATGATTCATTATGTTCTGTGTTACCTTTCTTTAGTATAAATATGGGGTATTCCCCCCTTTCTTGTTAGAAAATATAACGCTCAATTACTACGCTTCTCTACATACATTTTCTCTAGGTTATGAGCCCGGAGACCATCTACGCTTAAAATACTCCAAACCATTTTTCACTATAAAAAAGTACACTCTATCATTTCACTTCAAACATGTCGAACAACAGCGTAAAAATTCCCGCTTTACCATGCAAGCTGTCTGGCCAAGGCCATTACACTGTTTGGAGGGACCTCGCTTGTCGAATGTTAAAAGTTTATGATTTGTGGAATCTAGTCAATGGTACGAGTAAGCGTCCTGCGTTCACCACTACGGTTACAGCGGCACCACCTGCAGAACAACCTGCAGAAGGTGCAGCAGCAGCAACACCAGCAGAAGAGGACGAAGAAGAAACCACAGACAATGCTGAAGAAATCAGCGAATGGGACAAGAAAGACAACCTTGCCGTCGTCTTCCTTCAATCCAATATCGAATTTGAAGTCATTCTCACGCTCACTCCGGCCGATACCGCCCACTACCTCTGGACTCAACTCGAGGACAGATTTGATCGGAAAACTGTGTCTTCCCTCCACTCGCTTCTTGCCAACGTTGTAACCCTACAGTATACGCCTGACAAAGGCATCAAGGAACATCTACCCCAGTTCAACACTCTCTGGTCATCTCTCCTCACTAGAACTAGTAACTCTACGGACAAAACCAAAGACCCACTCGGTTACCACCTCCACCAACTCGCATCAGTCTCAGAAGCGAAGGCATCCTTCCTACTCCTCTCACTCAGGCACGAATCCCTCGAATCAGTCGTTGACAACCTGCAAACCAAGCCCAACGTCACCTTCGATGACTTCTATGAAAAGCTGTTGGATCTGGACTCACGGCGCAACAACGATGGACAAGCGACCGGAGAAGCCTACAATATCAGGCGAGGAAACCCAGGACATGGAAACAACAAAGTCGGTGAGGCACGGAACAACAAAAAGGACAAAAAGGATCTCACATGCACATGGTGCACCAAGAACGGCGAATTTGCAAAAGGCCACACGCACAAAGACTGCCGGAAACTCAAAGCTTTCAGAGACAAAGAGAAGTCCGCTGCATCTGGCAACCTCAACGTCGCGTCCGGTACTGCATTTCACACAAAATTAGACCTCTCTTGGATTCCTGATCTTTCTGGCCTCCCCGCACTCGAAGAAGCTGATGTATTTACTATGCCGGTTTCCTTCGACTTCACCACTTTCTCAGATACCTCGGATGTAACAATGGAAGATTACTTTGGCTTCGTTGCAGGACCTTCCTGTTATAGGAAACACGAACACTGCTCCTGAGTCAAGGAACAAGGATAATACGAGTGATGGGTTGTGATGCGAGTACGGTCGGGTAACAAGGGAACAAGCATAGAAAGGTACCGAGGGGTGTGGGGGCACCGGGTGCAACCACACTAGTATTAGGCTGTTGTGAGGGCACGCTTACTATTGGGTGTCTCACCCGGAACGGAATAGAAGCGGGGCTTATGGCTGCAGGCCATTCTACTTAGGGAAGTAGCTCTAGGACAATAGCATGATACAGCTCGGTTACTGGCAATTGCGGGGTTTATGGTTACGTGTCGGAATTAGAATGGAGGAGCGGAACTATGCGGGGGCGCTTTTCTATTGGGGTTATCTTCGGGTTGATTGTCTTATTCTATTATCGTTATCTCATTAGTATTAGAAAGCGGGCCTTGGCATAGGTTCCAACATGTATAAATAGGGAGGGTTCTGCCTCGTCTTAGTGGCATCATCAGTCACTCAGCGAGCGGAATCCGGTTTACAATATTACAAGTTTAAAAGCTACAGAACTATCGCTTAGCATTGGCATTTCCCCAAACACTATATTGTGCCTTATCCACTACGCTATTATTTTATCGATCGCATATTATCAACGTCCCGATAAGACAACTACTTGCTTAGACCAATACTTGAGAGTATTTTGTTTGTGGCGGATAGTCACCGTGCGCTCAAGTAAAAGAATAAGAAAGTAGTCTATTAGAAGGACTCTTTGATACCGTATGCATCCCCGAGTAGCAACAGCAGCTATCAACAACTTTACTTGCACCACCTCTTTTGTCGTTCGCAGAGGCAGTGCCGAACACCTCTATTGCGGATACCTTGAGTACGCCGGGTTTTTTGCCGAAGCAGGTACTACTTGCACGTTCGAAGAACATGACCCGGAGATCCTCAACTATCCCGAACTCTTCCCCATCAAAGTCACCCTCAGTCAGCAATCCCACGGATTAGCTCACTCCGTCCCTTGCTTCGTCGCTCAACCCTGGTGCAGAAGACAACCACAACTCAGAATCGAGCAACTTAGCGATGTCAAGGGGTCATCAACAACAACAGGAGGAAGACTACAACATGGAGAGCTCGATCACCGTGAGAGATCGAGGTATAGTCGAGACCCAGGCGAGACAGCGCCACAGGAGGGATCTGGACATGCCGATCAGCGACCTCTTCAGATCGACTCAGCCGGCCGCATCCTATGGCCAAACCCGCTCCCGCAGGCAAGGGGACTATCGAGATTATTCCCCGTACAAAACGCCAATCAGAGAACGATCTTCTATTCCGAGGCCCTCGGTCCACAGGGTAATGGACGAAGACGAGGACACGAATATGGACGTAGAGGAACGCCGTATCGAGCACCCCTTTGGAGAAATCATCGGGCAGGAAATCGAACGGAGAGGAGCCCCAGTGGTTCAGCAGCTGAGTCGCGGACTTGGAGACCTCACTGTGAGCGTCCAAGATCTGCCCGCAATCAGGGAAATTACTCGGCAGCACGCGGCGCAGCTTACCCAGCAGCACGAAGAGCAGACCAAACTCATCCGCGAATTGCAGATGAAGTTCAACCAAGACCAAGAAGAACGGGAGCGCCGAGATGGGTACATCCTCGCGCAAGTGCGGGCAGAGACAGCCGCAACCACTACGAACCTCGGCCAAGTCTTGGAACAGATCGCCAATACCACTAAGGCCCACCAACAGCGGCAGGAAGAGCAGGCCCAGCACATAACCATGCTGGCCGACTGGATTCAAAGGCTGCCGAAAGAAGGCCCAGCCCAAGTCCCAGACGGCGTAGCAGCTACACTGGCACAGTTGGAGAGGACCATGCAGCAGCAGGTCTCCTTGGTAGATGGGTTCTCTGGAACAAGGACGGCTCTAGAAGAAATGATAGAGCAGATGAGGGAAACAGCCCGTAAAGCGGCTGCGGAAAAGCCACTGGCCCCAGAGACAGGTGGCGGCGGATCAGGCCCACCTCCTAGACCACCTCCCCAACAACCAGTCGCCCCTCCAGCCGGCTCCGAATCCAGTGAAGACCTCGAAGACCCAGGCCAACAAGGGAAGCAAGGAGGTCAAGGAGCACAAGGTGGAGGTAACGGGGATGGCAACAAGGGAGGAGGTCAAGGAGCACAAGGTGGAGGTAACGGGAATGGCAATAAGGGAGGTAACGCCCCAGAAGCACCAGGATCATCCCCATCGGATTCCTCAGATTCGGAAGGCGAACGCCGCAAGTGGCTGGAACGTAAGAAACGAAGACACGAAAGGAGGCGCCAACGGGAGCAAGAACTCTTGCACCCCCCTCAAGCCACCATAGGTGATGCACCCAAAAAGGCCAACATTCCCTTCTCCGGAAGAGCCGATCAGGACGTAAGACTCTGGATCGATCAGATGGAGATTCTAATCAGTCTCCAGAAGAAGGTCCAATGGGATAACGGCACTAAGATTATGTGGGCATCCCTCGAGTTTACCGGTAGTGCGGCAAACTTCTGGCGGAATTTTACGGAGAGGTTAGCTGTGGATAGCAGTATCGGAACCTGGGAACGGTTCAAGCAAGAACTCCGTACTCAATATGGCAACCGCACAAGTCAGGAACAGGCCAAGCAGAAGATGGACAGACTCCGACAAACTGGCCCAATCGACGACTACATCAATGAAATGCAGAACTTAGAATGGGACGCACGAGTTGGACCAGTTGTCATGAGATCCATGATCCTAACAGGAATAAACTCCTCGCTGGAACAACGGCTCTCCAATGCGATTGAGGAACCTAATGATTTCGTGGACTGGTTAGCCTGGGTACGGAAAGTCGGACGCAAGGACCACGAGGTGAAGGCTCGGAAAGAAATCCTGCGAGGAAAGGATACGGTGAAACCTCGCGAGGAAAAAACGGAACGGCGGAAATCGCGCAACAACGCAAATCCTCGGAAAACTTTTCCCGCATCAGCCAACAACTCCAAGACCTCGGATGACTTAGGTGTCACCAAAGAAGAAAAGGAGAAATGGCAGAAGGAAGGAAAGTGTTTCCGTTGTGGTAGAGATAACCACTTCGTAAAGGATTGCGTGGCGACGAGTAAGGTCAGGTTGACGAACCTGAAGAGAAAAGAATATCCTTCCGGGAGAAAGGACCACGGAAGGGAGGGTGATAAGAAACGGAAATTGGGGCCACAAAATGAGGCATTTAGGGCAAGGATTACGAATTTGGAGGACTAAATTGATTGGGTATTTCTATTTTGCGGTGTTTCATTCTATGTTGTGTTACAGCTTTTCTATTCTGTTTTGGAAGAAAGACTTTTTTAAGGGATCGGGTTGTGTTATGTTCTATCGGTTGTTATTTTGCGCAATTTAAATTCTCTCTACACACACTGGAGAAACGGGGTCACATTCTGAAAACGCCTGGTGCGTAAGTGTTGTACTATGATCTTTATCAACGCTCGAATTTCCTATATAAACTCCCTCGCCCTGCGCTCAAGAACAAGAACCATCAACATCAACCCACTCACACCCAAGAACAATCTACCGTACACTTTCAAAACATACAAATATGTCTTCACACAACCAAGAAACCCGCCTTGAGATTGAGATCCCTTGGAACCACCCCGCAACTAGTACCCAACATACAGAAACAGTCAACGCACTCCTAGACAGCGGAACAGAGGACTGGGTTATGTCCTGGAACTGTGTCCATCGTCTCAAGATCCCAACTCAACCTCGACCCAAGCCCCTCATCATCAGACAGGCTGACGGCACCCCTATGCCTAACTCCGGTACTTACATCACTCAATCTCTTACCCTCCGCGTCGGCAACCATCTAGACAGAGACATCGTCTGTGAGGTTGGCTCATTCGCAGGAGAAGACCTCGTCATACCACATCGATGGCTCAAGGAGCATCAACCTACCATACATTGGGGACAGAACAAGGTCACCTTCGACAACATCAATTGTCAAGTGAAGGGATGCTTCAGGACCATGTATGATATATACGAAGAAGACCCAGAAGAGCTGGTCATCAGGCTGTTGAGGTCGTCACCCGAGACACAGATGATGATCGAGCAACACCCCTTCTGGGCAAGGGCATTGGTAGGCGAGGCTCTCGCTAGTACTATACCGATGGAGTACCAGGACTTTGTCGACGTCTTCTCTAAGGAGGGAGCCGATCGACTACCTGATCACTCTGAATGGGACCATACCATTCCCCTTATGGAAGGAAAGCAGCCTCCATGGGGACCGATCTATGCGCTCTCCCCAGTGGAACAAAAGGCACTCCGGGAGTACTTGGACGAAATGCTAGCCTCTGGCAAAATAGTCCCCTCCACCAGCCCGGCAGCAGCACCGATCCTGTTCGTGAAGAAAGCCAATGGAAAACTGAGACTATGCGTAGACTTTCGTGGCTTAAACGCTATCACGGTCAAGAATCGCTACCCCCTTCCACTCATGACAGAGTTGGCCGATTCAACGAAAGGAGCAGAGTTCTTCACCAAGATAGACCTGAAAAATGGCTATAACTTGATTAGGATTGCTGCTGGCGAGGAATGGAAAACAGCTTTCAGAACGAAGTACGGCCATTTCGAATATAGGGTAATGCCTTTTGGCTTAACCAATGCACCGGCGTCGTTCCAGGTCATGGTCAATACCATATTCAAGGATCTTCTAGATCAAGGCGTAGTAGTCTACTTGGATGATATTCTAATATATTCAAAGACTAAGGAAGAGCATACGACTCTGGTGAGGAAAATATTGGAGCGACTGCAACAAAACCATCTATACGGGAACCTCGAGAAAACGGAATGGTACAAACAGGAGGTAGAATTCCTGGGATTTGTACTATCAGGGAAAGGGAACCAGGTCTCGCCTAAAAAGGTGAAGGCAATCACGGAATGGTTACCACCCACCAAGGTCAAGGAACTTCAATGTTTCCTCGGATTCGCCAACTTCCTACGACGGTTCATCCACAGGTACTCCGAGGTTTGCCGACCAATGACCGATCTCTTGAAGAAAGGTTCCGTATGGCGATGGAGCA